AATAAATTTATTAATACTAAATTCAAAATCTGTAGGGTACGAGTTAAAAAATGGGAAGAAGTTTGATTAGTAAATTAGAAAGTTTGGTAATTGCAGTATAAAATTTTGAGATATTGGAATAGAGTAGGTATGTTATTTCAATTGTGAGGGAACGAGCTGAGCTTACAAAGAGAGGGCTCACATTATGTTGTGCAAAATTTTTTATTATAATTGTGTTGTGTAATTTATCATTAATTATTAATTTTTATTTTTATATAACAGCGGAGGACTTCAGATAAGAGGACGAGCTTAAAAAGAGAGGGATCACCTAGTTATTATGAAGAGAGAGGGCTTACAAGATTTTTTTAATTAGGGATAGGGTTGGCAAAAACGTATGCACTCCCGTAATAGATTTTTCACATTTTTGGCTAGGAAATACTGTGTTAATTTTATCTATAATAAGGTGGTTTTTTTTTTATATTTCTTTCTTTTTTAGGATAAACAATCAATTAAAACTATTTTGTTTTTAATATATGAAAGTAATATCCACATGGATTAATTTAATTCTTTTCTCCTTATAATTATTCTGTTAAAAAGTTGTTTGGCTATCTCTTAAGGAAATCTAAGAAATGCATTACCGTCATTTTGGCTCGGAAATATTGCATAAATTTTGCCTATAGTAATGTGATTTTTTTATATCTCTTAATATTTTTCCTTTGTTAAGGACAATATCAATTAAAACTAAACAAAAAACAATTATAATGCTCATATTAATATAACAACAATATTTTGAAGACATGTGTATAGTGAAGAAAGTACTAATACATTTAAATTTTCAAAAAACACTTACAAAAAGAAGGGTATTACGTAAAAAAAAAAAAAAAAAGAGGTGAATATTTTAGAAAGAGGTGAATATTTTAGAAAGAGAAAAGGGAAGAGGAGCACCTTGGAAAAGTTAAAAAAGCAATGGTCCTCAAATTAGGAAAGAGTTTAGAAAGAGAGTCACACTTATATATGGACCTCAAATTTATGAGGTCAATTGTATGTTTTGTAGTGGGTCCGTCAAGCTCCACATTACCCGTCAACTCTGTAATGCATTTTCCAGTTACGGGTAATTGATTTACAGGTATCAAATCAGCCCCTTAATGATTTTGTAAGGGATTTTATCCCTTCTTCTTTTTTTTTGTTTTTTCTGAGCTATAGATAAAACTACAGAAAGACTCCACACCCCTTGAGTTTGTAAATGCTCTTGAGATGTTAATAATAGGGATGCACATCACAATTCTCAAGTAAACTCACATCAAAAAGTTGGCTAGGACCCATCTTGTTTTATTAGCCCCTTCTAACACAAGACCAATATGCAATATTCCTACAATAACATTTCCCAAAACCAAAGTATGGCAACTAGAGAAGACAAGCTCCTTTACAGACCCGTGGTCCAAATCCAATTCCACTGCAAATCTGCAATTCCTCAAAGGCACATGTCTAAAGAATGCACCTCAAGTATGGCAACAAACGAGTCTCTGATGCCAAAAATCTTTAAGCAATATGAAAATCGAATCTTGAAGCTCCATGCTAGCCAGCTGAAATCTAGACGTTGCCACTAGCCAGCAGATGTGACATCGTGTCTGTGCGACAGAGCGGGCAGCTAGTGTGCGAATGGAGCCACATATCGATGCAGGGGAGGTGAAATGAGTGTGCACACTCAGGGAGAACCCTGACGTCCTCCCCACTCTTGAAATCACACAAACAAACTGCACACCGGTCGCCCCCACCTTGACCCTCTTGGTATTGATAAGCTGGTATCAGCTCTATGGATGAGTTGTCAAGACCACTAGAAGGGTCAGCAGGGGTGCCTCGTTGGTGTCTGGATTCACATATCGCACACCACCCGATAGCAATCCAATGGTAGGCAGTGAGCAAGAGGGCTGCTGATATTATCCCAATAAGTGCATAAAAGAAGGGTGAGTGGTTCAAAGGCTGGACTAAAGGCGGTGATTCCAGCAGTTGTGGAGGTGGTGAATCTGTTGGTGGCAATGGTGGTTCTGACAACCATCGGGGTGCCATTAGATGGCTAACGGATGGTGGGAATGGCAACTTGTACAGGGAAAAATACTTCAAATGAGTGGATACTTTAAAGGCTTACCTTAAATACCAAAAAATTGACGCTGAAGTTGCGCCCACGACCGCCTCAGCGCATGATATGTGGTGGCGGTGGTAGATGATGGTGTAGAATAGGAAAAATAGTTAAGTTGTGGTGGCAATGGTGGCAAGAATTGGGGAGATAAGCAAGTGGTGGTGGAGAATGGTAGGGGAGAGAACCAATTGGTGGTGGTGTTAGTGGAAGAAAGCAAAAAAGAAGAAAATAAATCAGCTGGGGCAACCAATTGAGGTGATAGCCATGATGAGGTGTTGGTGGTGAGGCTAAACAAAGTTTTAGGTGGATACACAGGTGATATACTATGGGTGGAGGAGGAGGAGGAGGTGAAGGTGGCGGTGGTGGCGGCGGCGATTTTGATGATGGAGATTTTCGCTAAAATGGCAACAAGCACTCAAGTCATAAAGACAATTTGAAAGAGAGAGAGAGAGAGATATAGAGAGGAAGAAATGGTACTGGCAGACAGCAGCCTGACCCTTTGAAACCAGCATGAAGAGGCTTTCATGGAGGGTGGCAGTAGCAAAGGCTAACCCAGGCTAATGGAGGTGTTTATTTCCTTAATCGTGATTGCCGGCTTCAACTAAGAAAGAGAATTCCCCTAAGGAGACGTTAATTACTAAGTTCTTGGCCTTTTGTTATGGTTCAGTAGGTTGCACGTGTGGTGCACAACACTTTAGGAGCATAATAAGATGTTGTGCGGGCCTCTTTGATGTGGATGTTTTTATAGGGTGGTCGTGGTTTGCACGACATGCTGAAGTTGGAGGGTTCAGATAGGGTCATGAGGATCATCTTACGGTAAGGTTGTGGCCCTAAACAATCAAACTAAGGCACAACTCCAAAACTCATTAGAAGTTGTTTCGTTGCCAAAAAAACAAATATGATCATCTCAACCTTGAGACATATGGACATCATCATCATCTTCATCATCATAGCTTTTTCTCAATTAATTGAGATAGGATACACGAATCCCGATCCGCCATTCTGCTATGTTAAAGATCATACCCTCAGTGAGGCTACAAATTCCTATATCTTTCCGAACTACTTCCAATCACATCATTTTGGACCTACCCCTTGCTTTTTTAAGTCATTCCACTTGAACTAACTCGCACATCTTAACCAGTGTTGTACTTGGTCGGCGCCACACATAACCAGCCCACCTATATCTGCTCTCTCTCATCTTATCGCCTATTGGTGTTACATCTAAATTCTCCTGAATGGATTCATTTTGAATGAGACACATGAACATATTAAAAATAATAATAATAATAACTTCTAATATTGAAAAGAGTGCATCCTGGAATACATTATCTAAACCGTGAACTTTCAATATTTTCAAAGTGCTGATAAATCTACTTGATCTACATTATTTTTGAAGTTTTAAATTGTATAATAGAGATGAAAATAAATTTTTAGGCCACGATGAAAATTTTTGGTATTAAAACCACATATTTTACCACTATTTAAATACGTGCCTTACTTTGATTGTTTAGGCCTCAGACTTATATAAACCACACCAACATAAAATGGGTCAAGTACGGGTTGGTTGCTAATAATTGGACGTCATGAACTGTGGTTTGGTTTCTCAGGAAAACGGCAAACATGATGAATTACAAAATTATCCCCATTTAATAGCTGAAAACATGGACACAAGTGTCACTTGATACTAATCTCAATATTAACTCTTACACAACACATCCACATACTATTTTTTAAAAAAAGGTGAGGCGAGATTTTAAGTGCATTAAATATTTTTATAGCAAGATTTTAATGAGAAGGATCTATTTTTCATTGAATGATCACAAATGAAGTATTTAAGTTTATACAGTACCAAACACCAATGACATGTTCTTGACGTAAGAACCTACACAAAATATCATCAACATATTTTGCATGGTCAAAATAGTGTTTCTTGTGAACATATTTCCTTGAAATAATGCTCTGAAAGAGAAAAAAGTGTTCTCATCTTTTTGGGAAATGAAACTAGAATTCAAACCAAATTAAACTGCAGCCGCTTACATAATAAGAGTTGTGATAGTGGTGAAAAAAAAAAAGAGAAATTAAATTATAGCTTACCTTTCAAGAAATAGCATTACAACAAATGTTTACTTCAAAAATAACAAAATATAACACAATAATAACTGGAATACAGCGAAAAATATTTTTATAATGGAATAATCATCAACTGTAATGGCATTTCAACTGCCATAGGCAATGGCCATTGCATTTCATATAACATTTATTTGCTCTTTCAATTTCGGAAACTGCTACAAGAGCCATTACATAGAGCTGTTATATTGAAAGTGTGCATGTTACTGTCATATAACGTAACAGTCCTTGATTATTCTGCTTGTCATAACGGCAGTTATACCCACTATTTTCACATATCTATGAAACTTACACCATGCACTTATTCCATACGTAATACATAGAGGCAACAGTATACTTGCAAGTATAGTGGAATACTCAGATCAGTATGGCCCATCTGCACCATCAGCTGATGGGTACGGATGGTGCATGGGAGGTTTAAGTAGTGGAAATTATATACTACCAAGTATAGTATATTCCCCAATATGAAAACATTGTAGACAAGTGAAAAGCTACGATGGCACCTTAAATAATAAAAGGATATTTGAAGATAGTGATTTAGGAATCCAAATTTGTAGAACTCGATAAAAGAAAAAATTGGGCTAATTTCCTTTTCTTCTTAAGTTTCTTAAGTTCCTATATCATCATGTTCAGTGGCTTCGATTTCCCACAACCTCCAAACAAGTGTAATGACTTTATGGTACAATAAATCAACTACAAAGACAATCAGGCCCAGACATTAAAAAGGATGAAAGATGAAAAAAAACAGATTATGAGAGAAAATGAAGATGACTACATTCTTTTCTCATTTCTCATTTCAATCTGTGCATCACTTTCCATTTTCTGATCAAATAGCATGCCCGGATGGGGTAGACATATGTGGCTACATATATATATTTACACCCCAAGTTACCAAAACAAAGCACCAATTTACAGCGAATGCACAATACCAAGAATTTAGAAACAAGCATTCCACTAAAACTATAGAGGAAATACAACATCAAACATGCACAGGTTTCACAAATTCATACCGTGATAAGAACTACATTTTTCTCAAATTGTCCAATCTTGCTTGTAAATCGCTATCAATACCATTTTCTTCTCCTCCTGCTGTCTCAGCTTGTGCAACCTTGGTAGTTGATGCAGGAGCACTCACAGTAGCTGACGGCGCCTTAAGAAGCTGCACAAAGCAAATCACATGATATTTATGGAGAGAAAAATTGAAGCCCCACTGGATCATAGTGGAAAGCGCAATAAAAAATATCCTTTTGGCAAGAATAATAGGCAAATGCTAACTACTTAATCAAGTTTCATTAAAACTCGTAAAGCAGGAAGAATTCAAGAACGGTAAGAGTATTAACTCCTGGTATTTCCAGGGGATATCTCAGTTGATGCAGCCATTAATTCACATGAAGAAGATAACTCAATTTTGGAGGGAGCAAAGTGACAATCTGACATGCATCCCTTATAGAGGGAAACCAATCAAGCCACTCACTCACATTCTAGCTTTTTGAGTTACATATAACATGCTATTTTAAGAGCACCCAACCCTCATTCCCTCCCTTTCAGTATGGGAAGAACAGATTTAGCAAAGGAAGCAAGCCAATTGACCACATGAAAAGGACAAGGTTGGCAGGACTAAAGAAAGCTTTTTCAATCTAAAGCTCAGGGTACTATTCTCATGTTTCCAATGTTTCACATTTCCTGAGTACCAAACAATAATCAATTCGTACTTACTGACATTGGTGCAATTATCACTCCCAACCACACACGCGGCCCACCACAACCCCAAGAAAGGAAAAAGAAAATGGGGATAGAGGAAAGCATGAAAGAAAATAAATAGAAAGGGGTAAAATGTGTACCTGTGAGTCAATATCAATTCCAATCTCATCAAGAACCTGGTTGACAAGTTCTTCAGTTTCTTCTTCCTCTTCATCTCCTTCCAAGGCGTCATCAATGGCATCACCCATTACCTCTGTTACCATCTCCATCTTTTCATTCTGCCTCTCAAACTCTTGCATTATCTTCTGCAGGGCAGGCAGGTTCATCTGCCTGTTCATCTGTCCCATTGCCTTAGTAACACCTTTCATGGCCTCCCCCATTGCTTGTGTGGACTTAAGTGTCTGTGAGGATAAATTAGTTTAGTTAGTCACAGATGAATCATATCACAACATAAGACTTTTGTCAGTTTAGTTGTTCTCCTTCATTGGCAAAACTCTGCAAGTTTGTGTAACAGCTTAACCACATTTCACTTCAAACTCCATAAGACTCAAACCATTAGTATTATCTCCATAGAATCATAGATCATAATATCAAACATTCAAACATAAAGGATGGGGATTTATAATGTGAGTGCAATATTCAGAAATGAGCAAACAACCGGGATGAAAGAGATGTGAGAATGTATGCCGCTAAACTTCATATATTAGAACATTATAACAAGAGATTATTTATAAAATAAGTGTAAATCTGGTTAAATGATTGTCTAGAAGGAAAGCATCACCCATCTAGGAGCATAAGATGAGGCACCAGCACACAGAAATTAATGTGTACGTACTACAGCTTTCCTTACTGAACAAAAATCAACAAAGCAGTGATCCTGGTATTAGATAGGGTCTCTAGGACTGTCTTTTCTTTGTGAAGGGTTCCTTGGACCATCTCATACAAATACCCTTAGATGCACACCTCAGAGCAGAACATTGCATGAAATAAATAATAAAATAATTACTATCCTTCCAAAGTCAGTTGATAATCACCACTCAAAAAAGGGACGGGAGGCTGTCACGTAGTCGTAGGTGTTTTATCCATTTAATTTGTGCAACAATGTTACAAGTTCCACTAGTTCTGGTTTGAGACTTTCCTTCGTCACAAAATGCAGAAATAAATACACGACAAGAAAATAAAGAATACTCAGAAAATTACAAATGAAGTTTCACTCTAACACATCAAAACTGTCCATCCAAATACAGAACCATACATATTCCCTACACCATAGTCTTAAACCTTAAGGTGCTGTTTTCGGGATCAACTTCCCCCTCTTAAAAATTTGAATCATTCAATATGCTAAAATAGAAAAGAAAATACCTCATGGGGATCTTTTTTAACCTATTCTAAAGCATGGGCACAGAGCAGCATTTGCAATTCCCACACCGCTGCAAAAGTTGCTGGCAAACATTGGTGCGTTCACTACCAACACCATTAAAAACTAAATGGTACAACTAATACATGTTGAACTCTTCCTAAGTAAACCTAAATATCTTGTTTATATCAATGTCGGAAAATGCAGCTCAAGAGTCGAACTCGGATTCTGGCCTGTGCAAGCTACTCGAGCGAGCCCAAGTCGATTCAATTGAGTCAACCATAAGTCACCCAAGAAGCCCAAATATTTGGGAAAGTATATGAAAATTCAGGAAAAATAAAAAATTCATAAAAAGTGAATAAAACATGGGCAATTGATTTTATGGAAATTTACATATAAATCCCGTTTTATGTGGATATTTAAAAATAGTCCCATGTATATCATATTTTACAATCAAGTCCTATTTCTGAGAACATAAAGTGTATTTTAATTCTATCACTTCTTCTAAGTATTTTAATTCTATCACTTCTTCTAATAGGATAAATTACAATTCACAACCCTTCAAAATACAAAGGTTAATACTAGGAGTTGTGAGGGGTGGATTTACTAATTACGTGTTTTTTGGTTTTAAAAAGTTACTTTTTGTGGTATCATGTTCATCAAGTAGGGGCGTTTGTGTAAATATCCCTAAAAAAGCAAGGGGTCCTTCTAGCTATCTTCATAAAGGGTAAAGTTGATATTTTTACAAAAAAGATAAAAGGTATTTTACAAATAAAGTTCCATGATACTAACCTTCAAAATACTATTCTATTCTTGAAAATTTTCAAAATTATCCTTACTTAATGGTTAAGTTACTTATTAAAATAAGGAAAATTGTTTCATGTGGGCTGGACCTCATGACTACATATGCAGTTCAAAAAGTATAAAGCATCCATCTTAAAGATGGATGCAAGTAGGTGTTCCATCTAAAAACAATGGAAACTATTAGTCCAAATGTTTTCTTACTAGAATTATTATTTCTAGTTTTTAAAATTTACTTTTTTTTTTTTATCTTCATGATCTCCATGTTAGAGATTACATGTCCTTAAAAATTAAGTCCAAAATCCATCTCAAAAATATATTTATTAATAAACCTGCATTTCTACATATGCGGTCTTGGCTGCATAGAAAACGAGTCCTTAAAATAAATTTTAAACAAAAAGTAACAATTTTTTTGATAAATACACCCATTACAACTCATTTTAACATTACCCTTTGTAGTTTGAGGGGTTGTTAACTCTAGACAAACCATTTTCTAATGTATCAAATTAAGCTCAAAATTCGGTATGTCCATACTTCTCCCCATTATGCACTTATAAAAAACTATTAAAACTAATTTAAAATAAATAAAATCACCAAACTACTCATAAATATAGTTTGGTAATTTTATTCATTTTAAATTATTTTTTAATGCTTTTTATTGATGTGATGGTGAAAAATATGCACATGCCAAATTTGAGCTTAATCTGACGTATGGCAAAAGAAATAAAATTAAATTACACTTCATAATCTCAAAAAATGGGCCTTCATTGTAAAATATAAAATACATGAGACTATTTTTAAATATAAAATATAATACAGGATTTATATGTTCCCTTGATTTTATGACTGTAAAAAAATAAAACATATATAAATTAATTATATTTTTTGCATTTGTTGTGGGAAACAAGCCTTATGATTGAATTTAAGTGTGGCTCTAATAGGTGATAAGATGAGAGAAACTAGACTTAGGCAGGCTAGCCATGTGCAGTGCAAACCCCAACAACTGTTAGGAGGTGCGAGTTGGTTCAAGTGGAAGGCCCAAAAAAGGCAAGGGGTACACCGAAAAGGACATGGTTGAGAGTAGTGAGAAAAGACATGGTAATTTATTGCCTCACTTATGGTATGTCCCTTGATAGAGCATAATAGAGGACCAAGATTCCTGTAGCCCACACTAAATAGTTGGGAAATGATGATGATGATGATAAAGCATTATGATTGAATAAAGAACCCAAAGAGGTAAAAGGCGCAAATCTCACTTAAGGATGACCAGCCATTGCAAAGAAGTGGAAACTTTTCGATTCAAGCAAAACCGTGTCAAAATTTTCCCCTCTCAAGTCCAAAAAAATATGATAATTGTTTCTCAAATCTGATCTATCTAGTTGAAAGATCATGTAAAAACAAGTTTGGGGCCTACATTTGAGCTCAATATGGAGCAGCATTCATGAGAAATGGAGAAAATATTCTGGTTATTTTTAATCCCCCCACCATCCCAACACACACACCCACACACAAAAAGAAGAAGAAAATTACAAACATACAACCTGAGTTGTGGGAGTTATAGGCTTGGCAGGGCAACTGGGGATAGTCTTAGTCGACTTGACTGAGTCGGCAAACACTGACTTATGTTGATTTAGTACTTCAACTAGCAAGGAAGTGTACTTGCTTGTGCTTTTATGTTTTGAGTGGAAAACCTCCTAAGAACAGTACCAGTGTTTCAAAAAGTGCTAGGCAGCACCCAGGTGATCAGGGGGTCCAGCCCGCTCAGCGCCCAGAACCTGGGCGGCCCGCTAAAAAAATATTTTGTTTGGGTTTTCTCTCTCTAAAATAGCATCTAATGGGTTTTAGGTTTCAAATGAACCTAAAACCCACAATTTTGCCCATTTAGTATTAAAAAAAGACCCAAAAATACCCTCAAGGAGCCGCATTTCTGCCCCTGGGTGGGGCGTAGGCCCTGGGCGGCTGCATAAGTAGGTTCAGGCGAGCGCCCGGGCGCTGGGCGGCCGCCTAAGTAGGTTCAGGCGGCCGCCCAAGCACTGGGCGATCTGCTTTTTGAAGCAGTGAACAGTACTTTCTCAAAGACTGGAAAACCAAAATACGAGGGAATCATCATATATTTCTCACATATTGAAAAATTCCTCCTTTGCAAGTTTCCAGGATGCATATGGTTTATTAGAAGAGTGGTCAAGCAATCCAGGTATATTATCATAATGATGTTTGTCAAGACTGTTGAAAATGAATTGTATTATAGAAAGTTAGTATTTAATCATGGTCAATGCTAAAGACTTTAGGAATAAGAGAAAAGACCTCTACATGGTCTTATTGATCTAGAGAAAACATTCGACATGCTACCAAGAGAGTTAATTTGGTAGGTGCTGGAAAAAAAAAAAAATTTGGAGTCTCTAAGGGATATGTTGATATGGTATGGGATATGTATGAGAGAGCGCTAACTAGTATAAGGATAAGACAAGTGAGCCTTCCGTCACAATAGGTCTACATCAATCAAGGGTCAACCATCGATCAGGGGTCAACATTGATCCCATATCTCTTTCCATTGGTTATGGACGAGTCAACTAGGCATCTACAGGATGAGATACCACGGTGTATGTTGTTCGCAGATGACATAGCTTCGATTCATGAGACTAGAGATGGCGTCAACGCAAAGTTAGAACTTTAGAGGGATGATCGATAATCAATAGGTTCTAAAATAAGCCAAACTAAGACAGAATATATGAAATGCAAGTTTAGTAATAATATGAGTAGAATTCGTTAAGATTGATAGCCAAGAAATATTTAAGAAAAATTATTTTCGATATCTTAGGTCGGTAATCCATGAGAATGGAGAGATTAAGGAAGATATTGCGCATAGAATTAGAGTTGGGTGGACGAAGTGAAGATGTGCTTCTAGACTTTTATGTGATCACCGCATACCAATAAAACTAAAGACGAAGTTATACAGGATGGTTGTTAGACCAGCCATGCTTTATGGAGCATTTATTAGCACCAATACAAAACGTTAACTGAAACGGAAATCAGATATTGCAATTACAGAGTCTATGTTTACTAAGAACCCTTTACGAACTATAATGGTAGAACAAAAATTTCTTAGAATGTTAGATTTACTAACCTGAATCCTCAGAGATACACCTTGGAGTTGGGATTTAAGAGCATAAAACTTTGTTATTTGATGTCGTGTCCGGATAAGGTCTTTTGCCATTACTTTCACCGCACCCTAGACAAGAAATACCAAAAAAATACTCCTTTGATCATTTAGAATAGACCCAAAAAAAAGGAAAAAGAAAAAACAGTAGCTACAACAGCAGCAATCTTTCTAATGCTTGTTCAATAAAAATATTTATAATAATAATTGACCAGTTATTTGATGTCGTGTTCAGATAAGGTCCTTTGCCATTACTTTCACCGTACCCTAGACAAGAAATACCCAAAAAAATTCCCTTTCGATCATTTAGAATAGACTCCAAAAAAAAGAAAAAAAGAAAAAACAATAGCTACAACAGCAGCAATCTTTCCGATGCTTGTTTAATAAAAATATTTATAATAATAATTGACCATCAAACTCAACTTGACCGGAAAGCACCTGAGTGGAACAACTCAAAGACCTCAAGCTTCACAACTCAAAGCACAAAACTTGGCTGATTTCAAACCATCTCAGTCAAGGTTTTTGATAAATAAGTTAATTGGACAGACCAATAAGTTCAATTTTTCTAGTTTCAAATTTTCAGCAATTCAAAAGCCTCCAAAAAATGCCTCAATTCAAATTATATTTCCCCATGGATGTCTCTTTTCCCATCCCAAGCTTTTACCTTGTCACTAGATTTTTTTTATTTTCCACATTTATCAATTGTATCTAAAAATTTAATAGAATGAAAATGAATGGTTTTGGAGTAAACCACCAAGATTGCATGTTCAAATTTGTTTTAAAAGAAAATGAGTCCCAAGTTGAATTTAAACAAAGGAAGAAATAGAAATCTCATAACAATTTTAAAAACCGAAAGAGAAAAATGGAAAATTTTCACCAATATCTGAAATTCAAACCAAAACACAGCCAAGATTCAAAAACAAGACTCCGACCAAAAGACAGTTAGGCAAGGTTCAAAAACAAGATTCCAACTTTGGACTTGGTGGGTCCAATGTAGGATATGTCCATGTAGAATCGGCCGAGTTTGTCAGAGACTCAGCCACTTCTGTAAAAGTTCTAGTATTAACATATAGGAACCGGCTGAGATTTTCCAGTTTACCTTGCTGAGTCCGAGAAACTCGGACAGATCCGAGTGGATTCTTTCTACAACACCGACTAATAACAAAGGGAATAGTCAGAATTATGGAAGATTGACCATATTTCAGACAAAATGGATTTAAACTTAAGACATTTAAACGACCAGCAGATAAAAATCATTCAACAAATATTGCCCATCTTGGGGCAAATTCAACTCATCTTTATTTTAAACTCTTTTAATAAAATTGCCAGAATGAACATAAAAATTTTGCCCTAAATCAGGAAAAGAAATTTGCTTCACCAAATTTAGCCAAAATCAGGAAATTAAACAGAAACAATCAGCTAGGAACTTGTCCTAAATGGCAATTTTATTTCATCGGATAAAATGGTAACCTTAAAAAAATCAGGATGCTTTGAAAATTAGATCCCCAATTTATTGATCACAAAAAGGAAGGAAACATGAAAAAACGCATCAGCGTCAGACATGAGCAAATACTGTAACCTTCCTTGGAGAATTAATATCATGTTTCGTCGTTTTAGAGAGTGTGTATGTGTGCCTGTGAGTGAGAAAGCGAGAGATTATTGCAATAGGCGACAACATCGATTCCTGTATGGCATGATTTCTCTAGAAAACAATCAACCTTGATCAAACAAGGAAAGAATTGATACTACCTACCATCTGACCCTGTTTTGCTGTTTTCTTGATTTCCATAATAAGCTTCTTTTCCTGTGCTTGTAAACCCTGTCTTTCTCTCTCTATCTCTCGAATAGATTTATCTAACATCCGTTTGTTCTCCCGCAGAAGTTCTTTGAGGAAAAAAAAAACACCAATAAATTCATTTAAACAATCGGGCAATTATAGCAACAACGACCAAAAGAAATTAAGTTAAAATAAAATCTGCTAAATGCATCAGCTAATTCATCAATCTATTTGAAAAAGGAAACCAACAGTCTAAGAATAATCGCCACAGTACACATGTTCAAAAGAGAATTTAATCAATCTATATGAAGAAGCAACCACCAAGTCTAAGAATTATCGCCACAGTTCACATGTTCAAAAGAGAATTTACAGGAAATTGGGTTAAAAGGATTAAAACAAGGCCATACATAATTCAAAAGAAGAAACAAAAGAAATTACGAAAACTTGGATATTAAATTTGTGGTCAGAACGCATACCTGCAGGGGTCTTTCGCTTTCCAAACAGAAAACTCATCGCTGATTTACGGATCCTGAAGAAGAAACCTGCGTTATACTCTCTCTGAGAAGGTGGAAAGTATGAGAGGAGATCGAGAAAAAAGAGAAATTGTTGAAGAGAGAATAAGGCCCGCTTACGATAAAGAAAGAGAAGATTCAGAGGAAAATAGAAAAATGCCTTCTACAAATTAGGGAAATAGAGATAAAATCGAGAAGCAAACAAGAAGAAAGGACTGCAAATTAGGGATTTTGAGACAAGGGACACAGAGATTCGATTCTTCGAACGAGTAGAAGATGAAACAACTGTACTTATAATTTGCGATTGGTTTAACCAAATTTTACGAAATTGCCACTGCTGTATTTTACAAGCATTTATTATTATTGGGCAAGCTTCGTGTACATAAAACTTTGAGTCCTTTTAATAATTTGAATAGAGCTGAAGCTCTAAACAATCAAATTAACGCCCACCTTTGTCGAAAATTGTGGTTTTAGTTCTGAAAATATTTGTGATAGGTTTAAAAGTATATTTTTATCTTTAATTATAAAATTTAAAGTTTTAAAAATGGTATAAATTGAGTCGATCTATAAAAACTTAAAAATATTAAAAATTGACCGTCCAAAATTGCTTTACAAGATGCATTATTTTCAAAACTTGAAATCCATTTTCTTTTCTTATGTTTATGCATCTTGATGTCGAGATGAGCAACTTGAAAATATTTGAGTATCAAAACAGCCTGTTCTATTAAAATTTTTAAAGTGAGCTCTAATTTAATAAATATTATTTTATTTACTTATTTAAATAGATGGTAACAACAAAAATAAGAGACTTTTAATAATTGGGATAGCAGATTGTTTTAAGAGAGAGAGAGGAATTTTAGAAAACACTTGTGATGTAGGATTCGCAATCTTTTTGCATTTCAGATTGAGTAAGGAAGGGCGGATTCACTGTCTTTTTGCACCTTTGGATTGAGTAAGGAAGGGAGGATTCGCGATCAACTAGTTGGGAAGGCGTACTCGCTCTCAATGTCATTTTGTACCATCGGATTGAGTAAGGAAGGGCGGAAGAAGTAATAAGCAGTGGAGCTATAAGTTAGAGTTTCTAGTATGGGCTTAGTCTTAGTCTTAGTCTATTTAAAAAAAAATTCGGAGGAAAACAAATTAAAAAATAATTAATTCAAAATTCACTCTTATATTTATTTTTTCGCTATTATCCATGGGTCCATTTCTAGGTTTTTGAATGTAAGGGTAGTTCAGTAATAAATATAAAATTAAAGGGCATACTAATAATTTTTATTGTCTACGCGTTAGGGCTCACTAACGCGTGTTTGCAACTTTACACGCTCGCTTTTCGCCTGCATTTCCTGCGTCTCTCTCACACTAGTCACTACACGCTTTTGAGCGCGATTCCACTCCACGGTCTCACTCTTGTATCCGGTCCGGTCATTCGATTCTTTCGCGTGCCCAGATAGTTTGATCCCGAGGGAGCATGCTGCACATCCACTCCTTCCTTGGATCTAAAATTTTGAAATCCATCGAGAGTAGCTAGATGACAATTTTAAAATTTTATTTAGATTTTAATCCTTCTTGACACCTTGATCTCATTCTCCAAATATTTAATTTTGAAATTTTTTTTTTTTAAATACCTTCTTCTCATTCTAAATTCAATTTTAGAACCTAAGTTATGTGCGTGAAGTGTCTTGTGATGAAAATGTAGACGATGTTTATTGGGCCTGTTTGGGTATATGGATTGGACTCTCTGGTATGCTTTGTTTGGGTAATATATTCACGCATGGATAGTTGAATCCCATAGAGTTGCCAATTCATGTTTTCGGGCCAAAAACTTGAAGAATGCTATTTTGGGGCTATCCACGGTTTTTTGGATCGGCCTATGCCCGTTGGACCTGAAAATTTACAATTCATTCAAATTAATTTGGAGCATTGATGTCCGCAAATCACAAAGACATCTTACTTAAATATTATATTTACATATAATATATATTTATAAATATATAAATATGTAATATATATACCATAATATAATATGCACTATAATGTATTTTACATTTATTTTATTAATGTATAATATAATATATATGTTATATAATATAATATAATATAAAATATAATATTTTATTTTATTATATAACATATAGTATATAAATATCATATAATATATATTAATTATATAACATATAGCAATATATAAATATCTATATATTAAGTATATAATATATAGCAATATATAAATATCATAATTATATAATACAATTACATTAATAAAATAAATATTATGTATATAATTTATAATATTATATATGTTCTCTATGTATATTATATATATAATAATAATAAAATTGCATTAATAAAATAAATATAAATATATAATACATATAGTAAAATATAATATAAGACAAAGTATATTATATATAATATATACTATTATATATTTATTTATATTATACTATTATACTATATTGCATACATTCTATAATATTATATATGTATATA